GGGAAAGGTTAGGAGTCCTACTCCCAATAGGAGTAGGACTCCTCCGGCGCGCCTCCTCCTAGGGCCGGCCGCACCCCCCCTTTGCTCCTTTATATACGGGGGCAGGGGGCACCCCTAGACACACAAGTTGATCTCCAAGATCGTTCTCTTAGCCGTGTGCGGTGCCCCCTTCCACCATAGTCCTCGATAATATTGTAGTGGTGCTTAGGCGAAGCCCTGCGACAATAGAACATCAAGATTGTCACCACGCCGTCGTGCTGACGGAACTCTTCCCCGACACTTTGCTGGATCGGAGTCCGGGGATCGTCATCGAGCTGAATGTGTGCTAGAACTAGGAGGTGCCGTAGTTTCGGTGCTTGATCGATCGGGCCGTGAAGACGTACGACTACATCAACCGCATTGTCATAACGCTTCCGCCGTCGGTCTACGAGGGTACGTGGATCACACTCTCCCCTCTCGTTGCTATGCATCACCATGATCTTGCGTGTGCGTAGGAATTTTTTTGAAATTACTACATTCCCTAATAGGGAAGGTGATGGCGAGTGGTTGAGGGGCCAGCCACGTATCTAACCAAAAATAAGTATGTGAGCCGCTATTTGTGAGCACGAAGGAAATATTTTGGAGAGTGGTGATTTGCTATGAAATTGTGCGGCACTAAAAGGAGGTTTGTGGTGGAGGGGATACTAAGGCGTTCGTATGTTGAAGATGAAGTCACTCAAGCCAAGGTGTTTGGGTGGTGGAGAGAGCTTTAGCTGCAAATTTCATAAGAAGGCAGTTGTTTTGAACATGTAAGTTTTTAAGCCCTAGACCATCGACTTTTTTGGTAAACAAACATTTTTCCAAGCAATAAGACATTGAGCACCTGAGCAGGCATCCTCTCCTGTCCAAAAAAACCCCCTTCTCAGAGAGTCCGAAGTTTTGATTGGTTTCTTTGGGATGCGAAAGATAGACATGAAATAGGCGAGGATTGAATCCAGGACCGTGGAGATGAGTATGAGTCGATCACCTTTATCGGGAAGTTTGGCCGCCAGCCGGTAAGAAGTTTGGTAGCATGCTCTACGAGAGGGTTGAAAACATTGGTGAGAGGCTTGGTCGGAGCGAGATGGATATCGAGGTATATTTGCGGGAAGGAGGCGCATGAACACCCCATGGTAAGGGCGATGGAAGAGGTCGTGTCATCGTCTGTGTGTAGTGTGGCTAGGGTAGTTTTGGAGAAGTTGATGGCGAGGCCCGTTGCGTGTGCGAATTTGTTTAGGAGAACTTTGAGGGTTGAGGCGGCGGAGGGAGAGGCGGCTGCGACGATGAGTGTGTCATCAGCATATTGGAGGACAGTGGGAGGCAGGTGGGAGAAGATGGGCTGGTGGAGGGACGGGTCAGAGTTCTAGAGGATGAGCTGCTGGAGAAGATCGGCTACGAGAAGGAAGAGGTAGGGTGAGACAGGGTCCCCCTGCCTCAGCCCATTTTTGCATTGAATCCATTTGCATGGGATCCCGTTCAAAAGTACTACCGTTTTGCCAGTGTGTAGAAGATTTTCTATCCAATTGCGGAAGAGAAGTGAGAGCCCGCGAACTACCAGGATTTTATCGAGGGCAGGCCATGCTACTGAATCGAAAGCTTTTCTGAAGTCTAACTTAAAGACCATCGTTGGTTTTTTCGTGTGTGGCAAGAGCTAATAAGAACAGCTGCAAACACAAAGTTTTTAGTGATGTTTCTTCCAGAGATGAAGCCAGTCTGGTTGCCATGAACTAGCCGAGGGATGAGCGGCTTTAGACGAGAAGTGATCACTTTGGCGACAGCTTTGATTGGGCAGTTTTGTAGTGAGATGGGCCTAAAGGCGTCCGGCATGGTTGGTGCCTCCTTTTTGGGGAGGAGGACAATGTGGACACGATTCAGGCGTTCAGTGTCTGCTAAGCCTTGATGGAATAACGAGAAGAAAGACAGGATATAATTTTTTACTATAGGCCAGAAGGATCTATAAAAAGAGGGTCCGAACCCATCTGGTCCAGGGCTGGCTTGGGGATTCATTGTGAAGACGGCGATCTTGATTTCCTCTTCGGAGAAGGGTTCATTTAAGGTGTGTAACCGGGCCACAGGATGTGGGTAAATAGAATTTAGATCAAAGGCCC